ATGGGACACATCACATAGAGGAGTTGGAATATTTTATAGGCCTTGGTGAGCCTCTAAAGGCACAACCACATCTGCACTTAGAAAGATGCCCTTTGCAGCAGGGAGGAGGGAGGACAACAGAGTTATGGAAACCAAAAGAAACCCTGTTTGCCTCTTCTCCCCAGGAGGGTGAAGCCTTCCCTCGTACTCAGCTGTTTGCCATAATAAAAGACCACAGACCAGGTGACTTAAGCAACAGTGTATTTTCTCACAGTTCTAGAGGCTAGAAGTCCCAGTGTAACCGGAAGATCAGAGTTTGGGCCACCTGTCACCACTAAATGCCAACGAAGAAGAGACAGAAATAGAGTGAGCTCTAAAGTGTGCTTTAATCAGGTAGCCATCAATCTGGAAGATTGGGGGGTGGCTAACACCCTATAGGGTAAGTAAAGTATCAGGCTTTTCTGTCCTCCCACCATTTGGATGGATGATGGATCCCTGTGGTCCTGAATGCATGCCTGAAGGGCACCTGAGGTGGGGTGTGGGCATGAATAGATGGGTACACCCGAGCTGAGAGACTGGGCTTATAAGGGCGGCATCACGGGGACACCAGGAGAGAAGAAAGAGAATAACCAGAGAGAGGAACAACTGAGAGAGCAGCCCCAGCAGAGAAGCAGAGGTCACGAGAGAACGCCGGAGAGCCCAGAAAGAGGGACGATTTGCCGGGGGCTGGGAGGCCCGCCAGCCCCCTGCCTGCCATGTACCTGGTAAACTCAATAAAAGCCTGAAAAAGCCACTGAGGGCTCTTGGGACTCTCCTTCGCCTGCCTGCTCCCATCATAGAGATGCTGCTCCGTGTCCCATCCTGCCGCTACACACCCTAAAGAAAGTGCCTTAACCTTTCATTTCCAGCTGCCTTTTAGTGAGTTGAACAAAGACAGTTCAGCAGTAAGCAGGCCTTCACTGCTGCCAGGAGATTGTGATGTCCGGCCCCGGAGCTCCTTACTACCCTCCTGGACACCTGGCCTCATGCTCGTCCCGCCGTGCTGAGGCTGGTCTGCAGCGAGCACTGGCCCCCTGCCCTCCTCCAGATGTGTCCTCGGGCTGGAAAATTCACTCAGGACAGACAGGCCATAAACAACACGTATGTGCAGATTCCCTACTATAGCAGCTTAGTGTCTCACCCGATCTCCTCCCCCTCCCTAGCCCCTGTTACCAGCTCAAGGTCTGTGAGGGTCGATGTCTATTGAGGTCTCTCTTCCTGGCTTCCAGAGGGTTTCCTTCTTGTATCCTCATGTGGGGCGTGGGTGGAAAGAGCAAGCTGTCTGGTGCCTCTTCTCATAAAGCTATGAGTCCTATCCCATCCCAGCTCACCTGTACGACCTCATTCAACCTTAATCATTCCCTCTCCAGCACCTCAGAGAGTCTCTTTCACATCCAGAGTGGCCCCCCAGAACTTTCTTTCCTTGCTCTTTCACTAATCAATAAATGCTGGAGGTTAGGATTCCAATATCTCCTGGAGGTTAGGATTTCAATGCATGAATTGGGGGACTGACACAATTCAGTCTATAGCACCCTCCTTCCTCGGGGCTCTATCTATACCTTGCACTTATCATTGTAACCTTACCTGTATCATGTTGTGGTTTTAATTACTAGTCAGTCAAGAAGAGTCCCAGGACACATATAGGACAGAACTCAAGAACCAGATTTTTCTGTTCCCATGGGCTTGTAAACAAGAGACGAAACACCTGATGACTCCAGGCCTCACACTTGTTGCCATAAATATCCTTGGCTCATTGTTTTTTAAAACCATTTCTAGGTGGTCTTTTCACAGCTTATTGAGTTTACTGCTATTAGAAGAAAAGGGAGTTACAGATTCAGAAGAGGATCCCAGAGCTTGAGACCAGACCAGTTCAGACTGGAGCTGTGGGCACACGGCCTCTGTGAAATGTTCACCTTGAAGATGCAGACCTCCTGCAGACCTCCAAGCTACAGCAGATTGGTGCTCCCTACTAGCAACAACAAATGGACGTTAGCCAGGTCCACTCTCCTTGCTGTCTCAGCCAATAAAATTGAATTCCTTTGTTCTTATACTTTTTTTATTATTATTATTTATTTATTTATTTGTTTGTTTGTTTGTTTGTACATGCACTGGGTACAGTCAGAAGCGCGGAGGGTGAGAGAGCCTACCAGAGCCAGAGCGGGGAGCAGAGCAGGCAGAAGGACCTAAGTACACCGCTGAGGGGAGCAGCGGGCGGCAGGAGAGGTCTGCGCGCCATGTGGGACCCTCCTGTGGTGGCCGGGGAGCAGCCGGGGATCGAACTGGCGCTGCAGAGGCCGTGGCCAGCTTCACAACCCAGCGCTCAACCGCTGCGCCACGGGGAGGCCCTGTTCTTATACTTTTATCTGGCAGAGAGAGGGGTAACACAGGATCCCCAAACCTGCCTGCTCTAAATAGGTTCTGCATCTGCTGCATCAAGACAAAGGATACTCTAGTGTGTAAGACCTTTAATGAAAAGAACTTTTAGGCATCCCTGGTGAGGCAAGGGGTTGGGCACCGCACTGTGAAGCAATCCGCAGCCTTTGCAGCATGAGTTCGAACTCCGGCCGGCCAGGGAGAAAACACATGGTGGGGCAGACCTCTCCTGTCTTGCCCACTGCTCCCCTCAGCAGGGTGTTTCAGTCAGTCTGCCTGTTCTGTTCCCTACTCTGTCTCTGGTGAATCCTCTCACCCCCACACCTCTGGCCTGTACCCTAGCTCTTGTGTGCATAAGTAGGTGGATCTTGGGGGAAAAAAAGAATAAATTATTATTAAAAAAGAACGTTTAATACAATTAGTGTGCAATATAGACAATTTGTGCGCAGAGAAGAGAAAGAATATAGTTAAAATAGTTTCCATTTAAACATCCAGTTACCTATCCCTGCATGGGTGAATGTCCAGCCAAACAGGGTTGGCCCAAAGCAGGGTCACTGAGGTCTGAAAGTTTGCCATAAGTCTAAAACACCTTCTGGGGGGGAGCCATGAAAAAGGGGCAGAAGGGACCAGGAAAGTCTGGAAGGAAAAGGGCAAAATCAAAATACAAGTCAAGATAAAGGCTGCCATTGTCAGTCCCCCATGGGTTCCTCACCCATGTCTCTTTTTTTTTTTTTTTTAAGATTTATTTTTATTTATTTATACAAGCACTGGGTACAGTCAGAAGCATGGGAGGGTGAGAGAATTCACCAGAGCCAGAGTGGGGAGCAGAGCAGGCAGAAGGACCGAAGTACACTGCTGAGGGGAGCAGCGGGCGGCAGGAGAGGTCTGCGCGCCATGTGGGACCCTCCTCTGGTGGCCGGGAGCAGCCGGGGATCGAACCGGCGCTGCAGAGGCTGCGGGCAGCTTCGCAACCCAGCGCTCAACCGCTGCGCCACCGGGGAGGCCTCACCCATGTCTCTTTCAAGTGTCTCTTTTCACGTCACCAAGTCCCTGGCTCTGTCCAAGGCCAAGAAGCAAGCACGGCTTCACATGTCTTTCCTCCAGCTTTCTTTCTCCATCTCTCTCTGCTTCTTCTCTTTCCTCCAGCCCTTTCCCCAGTCATTTCTAGTTTACCACCTTGCCCAGCTCCGCCCTTCCTTAGGGTGGGGCAGAGAACCTGGAATCTTCCCTTTCCCTGGGGATTACACTATTACAACACCCCAGCTCCCAAACCTGTGCAGACCCCTAGCTCAGGCTCTTCGGAGAGTCTCTTTCACATCCAGAGAGGCCACCCGCCCCAGAACTTTCCTTGCTCTTTCACTAAGCAATAAATGCTGAGTCTTTGCCTGCCCTCACCAATGTCTGTGAGATCCACTTTTCAGTCTTGACCACAGAGTCTCAAATGGCCCCTAAGTCCATCCCTCTGATTTCCAGTGGGTGGAGCAGTAGACAGTGACTGGTTTGCCAGCCTGTGTTGTTGGAGGACGAGATCGGAACTAGGGGCCCTGGGCCTGCTCCCTTGTCTGGTGACACTATTAATTTTTCTGATTATAAAAGTAACACTCAAAGTAAAAAAATGTAGAAACATAAAAACATAAAGAAAAAACCCATAAACCCACCCCCTAGAAATAAACATTGCCAATAAGTTGGGGTTCCGCTCCTTTTTTTCCCCCTGTGTATATACATTCACACACTTAAAAATACAGTTTGGATCCAATAATATGACTTTTTGGTAACAGCTTTATCAAGATAATTCATGTTTTCCAATTCACCCATGTAAGATGGTGTACAAATCGATGTCGTTTAGTATAGTCAGAGTTGGGTAACCATCATCACAACCAATTTTAAAACATTTTTATGATCTCACAAAGAAATCCGTATCTTCCAGTTGTCAACCCTCCAACCCCCAAGGTTGCCTTGGGCAACCTCTACTGTACTTTCTGTCGCTGCAGATTTTTCCTGGTTTGGACATTTCATACCCATGGAATGATCCAGAAGATGGTCTTTGTGACTGACTTCTTTCACTCACATACATAATGTTTCCAAAGTTTATCCATGTTGTGTCACCTGCCATCCCTTCCTTTTTCTTTTACATAACTTTATTGACTTGCGGTTCACATACCTTACAATTCACCTATTTAAAGCATACAATTCAATTTTTAGCATATTTACAGAGTTGTGCAACTATTACCATAATCAAATTAGAAGATTCATCACTCCAAATGTCACTACCTTTTATTGCAAAATAATATTTCATTATATGGGTATACCATATTTTTTTATCCACAGATCAGGTGGTGGGCAATTTCACCTTGTGGATATTATGAAAAATACTGCTATGAACATTTGTGAAGAAGTTTTTGTGTGGACCAAATATTTTCGTTTCCATAGGAATGGAATTGCTGGGCCATAGGGTAACCCTATGTTTAAGCCTTTGAAGATTTCCAGACAAACCATGCGAGACTTTTATCCTGACTTTCTCACTTAGCATTAATCGTGTACGTTTTCATAAATTGTTAAATGTCATTTGAACATTTAGTAACATTAGTAAAAACATGCTGGGGTTTACTATTTCCAGAGTTCCACCTCTTAGCTAGCCAATCCCCTATTATTGGACATTTAGACCATTTCCAGTTTCCATGGTTGTAAACAGCATTTCAATGAACATCTTTGGGCACTAATCCTTGTATCCATCTCTAGTTATTTCTTAGATGAGATTAATCAGACCATTGGAACAGAGGGCACCGGCAGTTTAGCGTGCATAATAATAAATTGCCTTCCCAAAAAGTTGTGTCAGCATGCATTCTGTACGTTGAATTTGGGCATATCAGTTGCATACCTCCTTACATTTCAATTGCCTTCCAAGGTAGAGCACCAGGGAAAAAGGTTGTTTGGGCACCTTTGACACACTGCCCAGCACAATTTGCAGCACATAATATGAGTCTGTGTTGAGTGAAGGTAAAGGAAGGTCCCAATTAGTGCAGGGGCCACAGGGTATCAAGTCACGGTGAAGGTTGGCTCCACAGGACTTACCACCTGGTTGACAGGAGACTCAATTCAGACTCAAGGGGCAATAAGGCATCTGAACGGCCAGAATCCTCAGCATGAGAGCTGAAGTGACTGATGGGAGATGAGGAAGCCATACTCCGTAGTCATTTAGGGTCAGACACTGGCAGCAACTCTTTTTTGTATTCCACTCTATGAGCAGCAGTCTTTATGCAAAGTGCTGGGAGAATTACCTTCGTGGAACTAGCAAGGTCATCAAACTCTCTGTTCACGTGGATATTCTGAGGAGAAACCCAGCACAAAGCAATGCGTTATCCCTTTCTGAGAACTTGACGTGTTTTACCTACAGCACACAAGAGCTCGAAGACCTTAAGGTGACTTCTTTCCTGTGGATGACAATCTCATTATTCCCCAAGTCATTCAAATGGAGAAGGAAAGGGACTCAAGGGGGACTTGGAGGGTCCTGTTCTATTTCTTGATCGGGGGGTTGGTTATGTACGTTACATGCTGCTGGCAGAAATTCACTGAACTCTACTCAATCTATCTGCTCTTTTTTGGCATAGATATTTCTCAATAAAAATCAAAAATAAAGGCTTGGGGATAAAGACCTAGTACTCATTGAGTCTTCCTCTGCACAGGCCTGACCCCGAGTGGTAGGTATTAGCCTTGTTTCACATAAAGACAAGACTGAGTCCCGGGAATAATTTCGCATCAAGTGTAAGGATTCAGAAGTATTTCCCTAAAAACTGAGGATAAAATCTGTGAGCATCAGATTAGACTAATGACAGCAGTGAAGGAATAAGTAAACAGAAAATTGCATCTTGCCTAGTGTTGATCTCTAATCAGAATCCCATGCTGACTAGAATTTGGACCCAGGCCTGTCTCATTCCAAACTCTGTGGTGTTCTCATTACACTAAGTTTCTGATGATAACCATACGTTGTATTGAATAAGTATGTCTTTTGGCAGGACAATCTCATATGTGTAGAGTAAATGGAAGCGATCAGGGTTTTTCCGCCCTCCCGCCACTAGCATCGATGAGCGACAACTGTGGTCTTACACGCACGCCTGAAGGCAGACCCTCGAGCGTGGTGTGCGCACGCATGAGTGGGCACATCTGAGCCTGGGGCCTGAGCATATAAGGGCGGCAGCAGAGGCAAAGGCGGCAGAGAACTGTGCAGTGGAGTACAGCAGAGACCAGCGGACAGACCACAAGAGAACACCAGAGAGCCCAGAAAGAGCGAAGATTCGCCGGGGCGAGGAAGTCAGCCAGCCTTCTGGCCCCCAGGCCTCCCTGCCAGCCCTGCACCTGTTGCCTCACTACAGATGGGGTAGAAAGATTATTAAAAGCCTGAAAAAGCCATCGAGGGCTCCAGGACTCCTCCTTTACCTGTCTGCCTGTATCATCCAAAACCTGCTCTGTGCTTTGCTGGCATTACGATATGCCATTCCATTTCTTGTTTTTTAAGAATGTTCGAATTCAGGGGCCTCCCTGGTGGTGCAGCGGGCTGAGCGCAGTGCTGTGAAGCTGTCCGCAGCCTCTGCAGTGCGGGTTCGATGTCGGCCGGCCAGGGAGAAACCCACATGGCGCGGCAGACCTCTCCTGTCTTATCCGCTTCTCCCCTCAGCAGAGTGTTTCAGTCAGTCTGCCTGTTCTGCTCCCCACTCTGTCTCTGGTGAATCCTCTCACCCTCCTGCACCTCTGGCCTGTACCCCGGTTCTTGTATAAATAAGTGTAGAATAAGGTAAAAAGTTTCAGGCTTTTCTGCCCTCCCGCTAGTAGGATAGATGACGGAACCCTGTGGTCCCGAATGCATGCCTGATGGCGGGCACCTGGAATAGGGTGTGGGCAGATGTAGATGGGATTCGCCTGGGCTAAGACTGGGCTTTTAAGGGCGGTGTCACAGGGATGCCAGCAAGAAGCAGAGAAGCCGAGAAAGAAGCAGAGAAGCAGAAGCAGAAGAACCACGAGAACAAGGCCACCAGAGAACGCCGGAGAGCCCAGATAGAGTGAGCACTTGCTGGGGGCAGGGCCCCCCAGTGCCCCTGCCTGCCGTGTACCTGGTAATCCCAATAAAAGCCTGCAAAAGCCACTGAGGGCTCCAGGACTCTTTCCTTCTTTACCCCATCTGCATGGGATCATAGAAAACCTGCTCCGTGGCCATTCCTGCCCCTACAATTGGGGTAGTCAGCAGTATGATCCATGCAGATGGGTATGGAGACCTGTGAAGACCTCAGAAGGGACCTCTGGAGCAGACTGAGAGCCTGTGACAATGCTGGAGGCGTCGTGGTGGCACAGGAGATGGACAAGGTCCGGTAACTACAGATGGACAAGGTCCGAGACCTCGCATGAAGGAGATGGCCCAAGAGGACCAGCCAAAGACCCCTGAGGCAGCAGAATCATCGGGGAAAGAAAGGACCAGAATTTGGAGCTCCCCAGTGCTGATGCAGGGAGAGGCCTGATGGACTTGGACTAATGGAGTTGGACTGACAATCCCGCCAGAAGGCAGAGGACCTTGCAGGTTGATATGTTTTGGGACCCTGGGGGTGGAACAGTTTCATTTGTAAACCCCAGGAGATGGGAATCTGGGGGTGGCCAGTAGGCCTTGATGGCCAAAAGCAGGCCTGTGTACTGCCCAGCAGCGAGACAGAGGAGAAAAGCCAACTGGGAAGGCAAAAACTGGTACTGATGCTAAGTTTGGGAAGCCCTGAGAGGCTGTTAAGCACTAAGTAAGCTGAGGAAGGCCAGTGAGTCTCGTAAAATCACCTGTGGGTGATGCCCTGCTCGTTCTTGAGTGAGGGTGAGGAGCTGAGGAACCCGTCCTTAGGGGACAGGTGGGGAATGTGGCTTGGGATGGAGCCCAAGCCAAAGAGGGGGGACCCAAGAGAGGCCGCATGTGGAGTGTGGATCCCCGACCCATGTGCTTGTGCAGCGGGTTGGCCTGAGTGCAGGGGTCTGCGTGTTGCATGGGTGGCTATGAAAGCCAAATGTTGGAGCAACCACAGACAGAAACCCTGAGGGTTGGCGTTTACCCCCAACAGTACACAATCGCCAATCCCAGAGCTAGTGCATCCTGGGGGTGGATGCGGTGTGTGGCTTGTGGCCGAGACCACAGCCAGAGAAGGACAGGAAACCTGACGGCTCCTGATGTGTTACGGCAGATGCTGTGAGTGGTTCCCCTCCCTCGTATGAATAGTGCCTTTGGCAGCAGAAGTGGTGGATCATCTGCTGGTGCCAATAATTATCTTTTGCATGTTGGTGCCCTGCCTGGACTTACTTGTGTTCTGTTGTATTTTGTTATATATTTCATTTGCTTTTGTGGGTCATGGCTGCAGTGTTCTATTGCCAAGAGAAACGTATATGACTTGTTGTGAAGGGCAGGAACGGACACAGTGCAGGTTTTCTGATCCAGCAGTCTGGGTAAAGGAGAAGTCCTGGAGCCCTCAGTGGCTTTTGCAGGCTTTTATTGGGATTTACCAGGCACACCACAGGCAGGGGTGCCAGGGGGCCGGGAGGCTGGCAGGCAGCAAGTCCTCACTCTCTCTGGGCTCTCCAGCGTTCTCTCGTGGCCATTTATTCTCTCGTGGTTCTCTGCTTTCGTTCCTGCTTCGCTGCTTCTTCTGGCATCCCTGTGACACCACCCGTAAAAGCCCAGTCTTAGCCCAGGTGAATTCCATCTACATATGCCCACACTATTCCAGGTGCCCGCCATCAGGCATGCATTCGGGACTGCAGGGTTCAGTATTCTATCCTAGTGGAGGGAGGGCAGAAAAGCCTGATACTTTTACCTTAGCCTACACTTGTATAGACTGTCTGTCAAAAACCCTGGGGGGTGGACTGTAGGGTAAGGTAAAAAGTATCAGGCTTTTCTGCCCTCCCGCCATCAGGATAGATGACGGATCCTTGTAGTCTTGAATGCATGCCTGATGGCGGGCCCCTGGAGTAGGGTGTGGACATAGGTAGATGGGATTCACCTGGGCTAAGACTGGGCTTTTAAGGGCAGGGTCACAGGGACGCCAGCAAGAAGCAGAGAAGCAGAAGCAGAAGCACCACGAGAACAAGGCCACCAGAGAACGCCAGAGAGCCCAGATAGAGTGAGCACTTGCTGGGGCAGGGAGGCCTGTCAGCCTCCCGGCCCCCCAGTGCCCCTGCCTGCCGTGTACCTGGTAATCCCAATAAAAGCCTGCAAAAGCCACTGAGGGCTCCAGGACTCTTTCCTCCATCACCCCATCTGCACGGAATCATAGAAAACCTGCTCCATGGCCATTCCTGCCTGTAGGGTAAAGAAAATGTCAGGCTTTTCTGCCCTTCCGCCATCAGGATAGATAATGGATCCTTGTCCTGAATGCATGCCTGATGGCGGGCACCTGGAATAGGGTGTGGGCATAGGTAGATGGGATTCACCTGGGCTAAGACTGTGCTTTTAAGGGCGGCGTCACAGGGACGCCAGTAGAAGCCAAGAAGCTGAGAAAGAAGCCGAAGCCGAAAGAGAAGCCGAGAAGCAGCCGAACGAACTCCAGAGAGCTCAGATAGAGTGAAGACTTGCTGGGGGCTGGGAGGCCTGCCAGCACCCCTTCCTGCCATATGCCTGGTGAACCCCAATAAAAGACCTGCAAAAAACCACTGAGGACTCTGACTCCTCCTTTACCCGGTCTGCATGGGATCAGAAAACCTGCACCGTGTCCAGTCCTGCCCTTTACACTGCCCCTATAGTAAGTAAATCTTTTTTTGAAAAAGAATATTCAAATTCAGTGCCGACAGGAATTCTTAAAGCAGAAGGAAACTGGTCAAGGGCACAAGTCTCTGGCTTTGGAGTTGTAGAGACTAGGCAGATGGAAGGACACAGTAAGGATGCTACACATCAATTGTTTTAGACCTGAGGGATCAGAACTATAAAAACACATCTCTGGAAAGACACAAATCTGGGTTGAAATAAAGCAGGGTTAGAATAATTGGTATCTTTCTTTTAATAATTTGCATCTGGGGATTCTCTTCAAGTTTAACTGCCTTGGAAAAATGTCAGGGTCCCTCCCCAAACCCCCCCCCTCCCCCGTTAAGAAGGTGGAACTGAATGAAAAGGGAACCTAACCTCCTTCGGCCACACAAGCAGATTTTCCAGCCCCATGAACCACCTGCAGGCAGTAAGGCCAGGTTGGGAGGCGGATCACTTTACAAGGGCTGAACCCGCAAATCTAAACTCCAGCAAGCAGTGAGCATCATGCTGCTGAGCCTCTCTCTCTCTCTCTCTCTCTCTCTCTCTCTCCTCTCTCTCTCCCCTCTCTCCCCTCTCTCCCCTCTCTCCCCTCTCTCCCCTCTCTCCCCTCTCTCCCCTCTCTCCCCTCTCTCCCCTCTCTCTCCTCTCTCTCTCTCCTCTCTCTGTTAAAGGAGAAGCCAGGGGTGCCTGCGGAGTAGATCACAGAAGTACCCCCATCCGGGGTGCATAATGGAGCCAGAGTGGTATAATGACCTACATTCAGGCCTGGGGCTAGAATTTGGACTTGACCACACTATGTATCTGGGCAGGGACCTCTGTTTCTCTAATCCCCACTTGCTTCCTTTAAACAGAAATAACACCTCACAGGACTATTCAACAAGAGGTACAGTTTGTGAGAAGCTCTTACAGAGAAATCCAGCAGTTCTATGGCAGATGCTGAATTATCCTGGACAGACTTGAGAACAGCAAAGCAGCCTTCACTTTGCATAGGATTCCTCGACACCTAAGAAACACAGACACAAACACACGCAACACTAAGAGAAGCTGAGCCTGGGGAGTAAGACAGTAATGCGAAAGAGAAGGCAGGTATCTGATGACATGGCTCAGGTTGGCCCCGCTGTCTCAGCTCAGAAGGTGTCTCCCTCAAACAGGAGGAGGAGGAGGGAGTGAATGCTGGCTAAGGACCCACCCAGTGCTGACTGTGAGCTGGTGCCGACAATACAGACAAGACACGCCCCAACCCTGAAAGAACTCACCTGTTGGAGGGAGAGGGGGGAAAGGAAACATCATACACATGCAGTGTGATCAGTGCAATGAGATAGTGCCCCCAAGCTCTACCTGGGAGGTAAAGTTTGAGGGGGGCAGAATAAAACACCTGAGTGGAAGTTTACAGCTGAGGTGGGAAAGAGCAGCAGGAACACAGCAGAGGGGAGATGAAGCCCTGTGTGCGCAGAGAGTTCTGAGCAGCTCGGGGAGCGAGAGCCATTATGTGCTGCCAGTAGGAGGGAAGGAGGCAGAGCTCAGATTTAGTGAAAGTTCAGCTTAGTGAAAAGAGTTTAGTGAAAGATGCACTACTATGCTTGAATTTATCCTGAAGGGAACCACACTGAAGGGCTTAAAGCAGGGAGGCACAGGGTCAAGTTTCTGGTTTAGAAAAATCGCCTGGTAGCAGGTGGGAAGGAAGTGTTGGAAACTGACAGGCAACAGAATTCTAGGAGGGGAAGTGCAAAGCAGGAGGAGCAGGCTGCCCGAGCATTCTGCAGGAGAAGAGAGCTAAGGAAGGGTAAGTGTGGGAAAGAGGGACAAGCACTGGGCCCCAGCTTGTGATTCCATGAGAAGTACCCCTCCACCCTCCCTCCAGCCGCCCAGCCTGACTAGGCAGCTCTTAGAGGCTTTACTCTCAGAATCCAGCTGGCCAACAGGAGATCCGAGGCACCATACAGCAGGTGGAAACGTGGATCCAGAGCTCAGAAGAGGTCTATGTTCCAGCGGGGTTGAAGGTGGAGGAGGGGGTAACCAGGTGAACCACAGGCTGGGGTTGAGGGCGCTGCGGGGGCTGCTCTGTCAGCTGAAGGAGCTGAAGGCCAGGCAGGGCTGGATAGCCCCTGGAACTGATGAGTGTCCCCAGTCACATGCTCCACCCTTGATTGCATCTTCCCTTCTCTGTCTTAAGCTCCCAGCCCTCTCCGCACTCCCTCTCCATTGACAAGAGAGCCCCTGCTGTGCGCCCAAGACCTTGGGTAGGTCTGAGCAGGGGACTCAGTCTGACACCTAGGCTCACACGCTGACTTCCAGCAAGGCCAGAGGAAGCTCAGGGAAGAAGACAAAGGGGAAGCAAGAGTGCTCCTCACCATCAGCAGCAGAGCAACACTGCAGGGAGCTGAGAAGGAGGGATGGCAGGAAGGGTGGGATGCCATGCCACTAGGACGGAAGGATGAAGTGAGGAGGAATCTGAAGAAGTGAGACTCTGGCCCAGGCCAGAAATGAGTGAGGGGTTGAAAAGGGGAAGTCGTGGCCCCAAAGGAAGCCAGGAGGTTTCCTTTCTGAGACCCTCATCTAGGTTCTGGAATATGTACCTCCCACTGCTGTTGTGCTAGGGAGATATGCATGGCTAGGTACAGGCTTGAGCCTCCCCTCCCCCCAATCAGGCTAACACTCACAACAAGGATCCTTAGTGTCTGGTTGACCCGGAGGCCCAGGCCCAGCCTCAGGGCGCCCGTTGCAGAGATGCGGTTATTGCTGCAACAAAAAGACATGTGCGTTGCGCTAGCTTGCAAACAGCTGTGCAGAGCCAGACCACTTCAAGGTCACAGCTGGAGCTGCTGGCTCAGGCACCTGGTCAGGCTTCACATTCCATCTTCACAGATACCCTGGACCCTGGAGAGGTTAGGTGTAAATGGTGGATAACGAGCATGTTTCATTGGCAGCTCCCAGTGTTGAGGGAGATCACCCAGCCAGCATCTCCAGAGCACCCATCACCCCTGGTGGAGACAGCCGCCCTCAGAACTCAGCAGCTCCCATGTGTCTGCCCCACCTTGTGCCCATATCGATGACCATAACAGTGTCTGTTCTGGAAAACTACCCAAACTCCTCCCCACATCTGCTCTTCTTCTTCCCACTTTGTACCTTGGATCTAAACTCCAGTCCTCATCCCTGCTCTTGGCCACGTCTCCCGAGCCAGTCCCACATCTCTGATTTCTCAGACCCCAACACTGGACTTGCCTCTCAGCATCTTTCAGTGCCTCTTCTGGCCTTTTCCCTTCCATGGGAAGGAAGGTGGGCAAGATTGCAGTGGGCAGGCCCTGCTCACTCTAGTAGCCCCCAAGGAGGGGCTCGGCCACAACAGCTCATCGCCTGACTGATGTCTGCCATTTTTTCCTCTCTGGGCTTATGGTCCCTGCTCTGGTTTTCTGCTGAGGCTGGCACTGTGCTGGGGGCCGCAGGAGAGCTTGGCATGCCGGCAATAGTCATGTGCTGAGCAGAGCGTAAGTAAGGGCCCGCTTGTCAAGGCCCTGCCCAGCCCCACTCACACTCTGCTCCTCCTCTGAAAGGGAAGAACACACACAGAGCACCCAGTCACACCCACAGGCTCTGCTGAAGATGCCTCACTTCACACCAACTACCTGTGTGCTAGGAACCATGAGCCCCAACATGGAAATGATGAACTCAAGGAAGGACAGACCTGGGTGATCCTTGTGGCCCAAGCTGCATCATGAGTAGATGGTGGTAGGTTAGAGAATTTAAATGGCGAGAGACCAGAAAGATTACCATGGAGACCCTGTCTACAGAGTCTGGGGACAGTGACACTGACATGGGCAGCACCCTATGCTCTCACCTCATGCTGAGTTCCTCCAGCACATTGTTGGTCGCAAGTGCCTCACCCACAGCAGAGGCTCCAGGGTCTCCAAAGCCATTGTGAGAGATGTCCAGCACTTTCAGGAAGATGTTTGCCTGGAGCACAAAAAGAGCAACCCCATGGGGTCCCATGCAATGGTGGAGAAAGCCAGGAGCCAGTCGCAGGACCCAAGAGACCCGAGGTATAAAGATCACAGGCCGCGTATGGACAGGCAGAGTTTCCTGGGAAGTCATGTGACTTGGGTGGTGGTGACCGATAGAGTCCAAAGGCCAGAAACACAGTGCGGAAGGTGGATGTGGATGTGAATGACCTTCAGAGACTACGGGTTGGCCATGTGGCAGCAGCTGCCGGAGAAACAGTGCTCATATCTGCTTGGGCACCCCTCAGGGACAAGCGCCCCCAGGCACAGAGCAGCCCAGGAACCCAGAGGAGGCTCCAGTGAAGGCTGTTGGCTAAAGCTTATCCAGGGATTTGTGACGGGAGGAAGGAGGAGAGCTTGTGAGTACACGGGATGATAGCCTGACATGTCTTCTTGTGGGGAAGCCCTCAGGTCACCCCGTCAGGGGGCAAGGCAGCAACATCCATTCCCTGAGAAGGACTTGACAAAGGTGGTTGGCACTTGGGGCACTGCAGGTACCTTGTGCCATCCTGGCAGGTTCTTGAACCGCCCATCTACTGTGAACCTCACAGGGAGCGGGTGAGGTGTTTGAGAGCGTGTGCTGGGATCCAAGGGTGCAAGGGAGTCATCTTAGGGAACATGGATACATGCCCAGCAGTGACAATGTGTCTCCTCACTGCCTGATGCTCCCCACCAGCAGAATGTCTGGAGAAGGTGCACATGAGCTTGACCCCTTCAGTGAGTGCCCTGAGAGTGTGCACAAGTAGGTCATAGTCATTAAATGGGAGCCAGGAAAATTAGTCACCTAAAGCAATAATCTTTAAGCTTTGCTTCAAGATGAAAGGTTTGTTTCTGAAGAGTTCCAAAGGCAGGGGAGCTGGGACCCAGAGACAAGCCGAAGGAGATGACAGGGTGAGTTGGGGGCCTCTTACCTCCAAACCCTTGGCAAAGGCTACGGCTCCTGGGCCTCGAAGGTGATTCCAGCTTATGTTAAGCTGGGTGAGTCCTGTGTTTTCTGCCAGGGCCGGACCAAGTATCTCCCCTTCAGAAACACCAAGAGAGACCTCCTTACTCACTCAGTTCATTCCTTCAAAACATGATACGGATGCCCGCTGTGTACCAGGGTCTCCTCTGGGCATGAGGATCACAGAGTGGACCTGCACATAGCTCCAGCCTGCCTTCAAGGAATTCACACGGAGTGGAGAAGGTACAAATACAAATTAATGGGATGGGGGTATTATAAACTACAAACCTTGGTGATGCAAGGGGTTAAGTCTCGGCACTATCAAGTTATCACCAGCCACTGAGGCATGAATTCGATCCCCTCAGCAGTGTATTCCAGTAGGTCCACCTGTTCTGCTCCCCACTCTGTCTCTGGTGAATCCTCTTACCCCCACACCTCTGGCCTACACCCCCGTTCTTATATGCATAAATAAATAAAAATAAGCCTTAAAAACAACATCAAAACAAAAACGACAAACAAGGATGAATGGAAGAGAGTGGAGCTAAGCTTGCCTGGGGGCAGGGGGCAGGACAGTGAGGACAGAAGAGAGGAGCTTGGACACCGAGGGAGTCACCACACGTACACACATGCACAGAGGCCAGCAGACACAGGACAGGATTACACGCAGAGCCTCAGGGAGCATGTGCAGGCCTTCAGCTGGGGGTGAGCTGGGGGAAAGATAGCAAAATGAGGTAGGAGCGACGGGCACTTGAGAGAGACTGAGAGACCTTGGATGCCAGGCCAAGGATCTTGGGCACCACTGTATAGGTGGTGAGGAGGCAGGGAGGGCTTTAGAGTAGAGGTTGGGTTCCTTAGCAGAGGATGTAGGGGGTGGACTTGGGTGAGCAGGGGCAGAGATGAGAGTCTGGGGTGGTGCGGGGCCTAGGGGAACAGGAGCAGCTGTGGAGGAGTGAGGCAAGTTTCAGAGAAAAGAAAGGGAAGGCCATGTGGGGTAAGAAACCCTGAGAGATATTTAGCATGCGAAATGGGCAGAAGTCCCACCTACCACCCTGCTCCCCACTGTCAGCCCTCAGCACCAGCTCCAGCGTGCCTCTCAGCTGTCACCCTGTGTGGGCCTGTTGACCCCCCCTTCACCTGGTGAATAGCTCCTCAGCCTGGGTTCCTGCCATCAGGAAGCCTTGCCTGCTCATGTGGCCCGAGTCCACTGGCTTCCCTCCTTCCAAGCCCTAGCTGTTAGATTTCTCTCCCATCAGCCTGGATGGGATGCCCCTCAAGGATTTGAATTTGACTCCTCTGCATAGTCCCATCCCTGAGCATGGTCCAGGAAGGCTGGTGGGAAGAAATGCACAGAGGGAAAACAGCTGCTAATTGAGCAGAGCATTCAGTCTGCTCCTCCTGGATGAGGCCCCCAGGCATTTTTAGCACCATGGCGAGCTCTCTGCAGGCGGTGGGGATGGGGGCATAGGGGCCCCTTGTGCTGCCTCCCTGAGACCAGGACCCAGCACTGGGTCTGACACCCTCGGGTTCTCAAATGTGGGTGATTTCCTCCTTCCTTAGACATTTTCAGGCCTGGGAGGAGCAGTGGTGCCCTCCACTTCGTAGTGCAGCCCTTTCCTGCTGAACAGCTAGAGGGTAAGAAGGATCTTCTAATTCTAATGCTTGGTCTTAGTGACTGCTGTAGTCAGTCGAAGAGGCAGGGGCTACCACAGTCGTTCTGCAGGTGGGGAGACTGAGACCCAAGCTCCTTCACCCCTTAAGGGAGTCAAGCTCCCCACCACGGATCCCAAGGGAAAACAGAAGCGCTCCCTGAGTCAGCGTTGGAGACCCAGCCCTGACCCCATATCTGTGAGCCTTTACAGGGTTTTAGCTTCCAGTCCCTTCCATGCTGGCTGCCTCTCTGTCACTCATCCTCTGACCATGCTGGCCCAGAGAGTCTGAAACGATTTTCTCTTTTAATTTTACTGGTTCCCCACAGTGATTTTCATAAGAATGCACTCCTGGCAGTTAGGTTCCACGACTGACTCTCACAGGCTGCCACCTCATTGCTCTCAGCAGTCTGAGACAGAGCAGTGCTTCCCAAACATTCTGAACCAGACAAATCTCCTGGGGCACCCCTATAAAATATAGTGCACAGCAGCCACTCAAGAGTCTGGTTCAATGGGTCTGGGGATGCAGGAATCTGTATTCCTAACCCAAGGCCCCAGATTCTTCTTGTAATTGATTGGTTGAAGACAGAGAGATATGACTGCATGTTCCTGGCAAAGCAGATGGCCTGTGCAAAAGGTATGAAAAAAAAAAGTGATCAGCTCTAGCAATCCCACTGGTGTCTTCCACTTAGAACAAAATCTTCCATGTAAATTGTAAAGAAAAGAAAACCCAACAGCACAGGCATGCATGTAAACTGGAAAAAAAAAAGAAGAAATCTTCATGCCTGGTGTCATGAGTGGTAGCGCTGCAGCTCCCCGCTCTCTCCACCCTTCAGCCTGGCCTCTCTCCCCTGGCTCATGAGCTCAGCCGCACTGGGTCTGCCAGTCTGGGAACAGGTCTGCATGCTCTCTGTCCACTTGAAATATTCTTCCTCTGTCTCGCAGCTGATTTCCTCCCACCCAGGCCATTTCAGCTTAAATGTTCACCTCACAGAATCTTCCCCACGCACCCCTCTCCAGCGTGGGGTCCCCATTCTTCTCTAGAATGACACCCTTTTTGTTTCTTTTGTGACAGCAGAATTTTCATGGTTGGGCCCTCAAATCAGCACCCAGCACAGGCAGAGGAGGACAATGAAATATCCCTGGGAAGAATCGAGTTGTGTGTGGAAGGAGAGGGAGGGGGGCAGGCCTGCGTGGAGTGTGTGGGTGAAGGCTGAAGCAGGGCTGCTCAGCATGTCCCTTTCAGCACCACCCTGTCTGAGGAGCGCCCCATGCGGCCTTGGCTGGATGGTACCTGCTTGGTCATTCAGTTGGTTGTAACTCAGGTCCAGGGATTTCAGGCTTGTATGGGCAAGCAGAAGTTCAGCAAGGTGCTGGGCTGCCTGCTCCTCCAGGTGGTTCCCTGCCAGCTGCACCTTCTGTACAACTTGGTTCACCGTGAGGGAGGCACAGAGGGCTTGGGCTGCCACTGCTCCCAGCAGGTTCTCCGACAGGTCCACATCTGGGGACCAGCACAACCCCTCAGCCAGACAGCTCCACAGTCAGGTCCACCTCCTCCACCTCACCCCATCCTCCAAGCTTCCAGGCCTGAGGAGCTTTACAGTCAGATTGTTCTGGATTTACATGGAGACTCTGCCACCTTTGGGGACCAGGCAGCTCCCCGCTTATGTGTCCAGGAGTGTCATTGTCAAGGGGCTAAAACCTCCAAGTCTGCAGTCCTGGGAAGAATGCCTGTGGTGGAGTCACATCAGCAGCCACCTTGCAAATGATCTGTGCCCAAGAGCAATACACCCCACCCACAGAAGCCCTGGAAGCTGCATTTCTGCGCGCTGGCAATTACAGCCCAGGTGGCCATGCACTCACATGCCTCAGACTCTCTGCTGAGCATGTTATGATCACCACAGCCTCAAGGGTGGGCGGGAATTATTGGGGCCATTTCACAGATTGAAAATTGAGTCTCAGTGAGTTTGAGCTGCTTTCCTCGCGTCATCCAGATCTTTGTGGCAGAGGCAGCATTTGGATCCAGCCCCACCATACTCCCACGCCACCCTCCCTCTTTTCACACCTCCCAGGCCCTGCCTCTCTGTGTCACAGGACCCTCCCCCCCCCGCCCCCCCCCCACCTTCAGTCACTGAGAGGCCACCAAATGCAGGGGGAGGAGGGGTGCTGGCCAGCAGAGGAGAGTGAATGGGGTGGGGTGGTTGGAAAGAGTGATGCCCAGTTGTGTGCGCACCTCCACCTGCCCCACCCTGAAATGAGGCCTCAGCAATACCAGCAGCCCCCATGTGAGAGGGCCCAGTTGGGGGAGCGCACATCCCTCAGCAAAGGAAGGACTCCAATCTGCCCACCTGCCTCAGGCTGAGCACCTACCACAGATGCTGCTGTTTTTGCTCACGGCACGTGCCAGGATTTCCACATCAGCCCCACGGAGCCCACTGTCCCGAAGGTCCAGCCGCCTTACATGGGGATTAGAGATCAGCGCAGAAGCCAGAGCCTGTGCCCCCTGGAGAGAGGAGAACAATGGGAGGGGCCTGTTCCTTTCCAGGACTAAAGGCCCCAGACACAGCCGGTTACTACCTGGCTGGCATTCCCAGGGGTCAGCCTACTCGTTGCCCCCAGCTGGAAGGCCTTCCCCTTCCCACATGCTCAGGGGGTACCTGCTCCTCTCTCTAGGCTACTCCTACACCTCACCTCCAGGAGCCCTCCCTGACCCCTTTCCAATGGGTTAGGGGCCCCCTGCAGACTCCCAAGCCAGTATACTGCTCTGGGTCATAGAGCAGTGTACTGCTCTGGGCCCATCTGTCACCCAGATGTGGGGGATGCGACATGCCTGGCACACAGCGGGGCAGGGGAGTGTATAGGATGGGTTCAGAAGGGCCACACCCTTAGTTGTTGCCCCAGGTCCTCCCTTCCGAATGTGGCACCAGGGTCCCTCCAAGGGTACCTGAGGCCCCAGGCCACGGTGTCGCAGGCTCAGCTCTGGGGAGCTCCCTTGGCGCAGAAAGCAGGGGGCAGGCCCAGCACCGCGGGCCCAGCAAGACCCCGAGTAGTGGGGAGCCTCAGCCATCTCTCCAAGTCCACGGGTGTCTGAAAGTCACAGGGACAAATGTGGATCCTTCTGCAGGCACAGCCACGGCCTCCTCCCTCCTGTCAGGTGCTTCCCCTCTTGAGGCATTTCTTTTCCTGTGCTGAGGACTTTGAGTCTCAAAGAAAGTAAATCCTCTCACCACTGGGAGAAGCTAACCCTGGCAGAGCCAGTCTGTCCGATGCCAAAGTCATTCTGTGTCTTTCTGCGGGAGCGCAGCCCACCTGTGTTTTGGGGCCTTCTCATGGGGGGAGGGGGAGGGGTAACTGAAACAGCTCGAAGCTCAAGACACCCCTCAGCTTAGTTTGTCCTATGTGCTGGGGAAACTCCACCTGACTTCACTTCAGAAGGGGCCTCCTTTGGCACTGGTGGGCTTGTTTGCACGTTAACCTCATCCTGGAAGGGTATTCTAATAGCAGAAGTCCCGATGACGCCAGGAACCAGGAGGCTGAGGGGCTGCGTTCTGCCCTGGTGGGCACGTAGGGCTAAGCTTCCTGATGGACAGCGGTTCCCTGACACCTGGGCCCCAGATTGTTCCCTCTAGCCAGGGAGGGAAGCTCTCAAGGTGAGGAGACTGGCCTGACACTGATCCTTATGGCTCCGCCTGTCTGGGGGCACCTTCAGTCTCCAGGTCGGAATCTGAATCTGCCTTGTCCTCCGTGACCCCTGCAGGATGCCCAGCGACTGTAGCAGCCTCTTCCTCCTGCGCTTCTTCTTCTCCAGGCGTCTTGCTGGGCCCCCTCATGGTTACCTCTCTGTGGCAGTCTGAGCATGGAGACTGGCCCTGCGGGGGCCGCCCCTAAAGTGCGCCAAGAATGCAGGCAGACACTGGGCTGCGTCAACCAACCCAAGTGGCCTGCAGGGAACAGGCTCCGGAGGCAGCCAATAGAGACGCAGTCCCGGTCGCAGAGGCCCTGGTAACCGGTGTTGTTGGTTGCTGCAGAAATGGCCAGCACTTTTGACTCTGCGCTTGGGGGTGGGGTGGAAGTGGGGAAAACTCAGGAGATCCTGGGGAGTCTTGCAGAGCGGGACCACCCTTCCCTCTGGAACCAGTCACTCCCGGGATGCAGGTTCCTTTTCAGGCTCCAGCCCTTGCATATGCTGCTTCCTCCAGTAGGAAAATCCCTCTTCAGAGCTGCACGTAGAAACTTCAGATTCTGCAAGTGTCAGCTTGGAGGTCACCTCTTCAGCTGAAGCTTTAGTGGCCCTTCCTCTGGGCTCCTGCTGCCCCCCCTCCATAGTTCCTGTAACAACTGTCATCCTCTTACCCCCAAGGGAAGTGAGTCAGGGGACAGGGGACAGGGGCTGCTCCTCTCTGCATGCCCTGTGTCTGGCAGGGAGAATCTGGAAAGGGTTGGAGGTCCAGGTCAGCAGGAGGTGGAAACTTAGCCCAGGGTTGGTGGATAGAAGCTGGATCCTGCCCTGAAAGGAAGTGTCCCTTTAATAGCTGCTGACCTGGCCTGGCTCAGGCACCTGCTTCGCCTCCTGTTCAGTTGTGGCAGCAGTTGCTGTGCTGACTCATGCACCGGAGCAGCCAGTAGGAACCAGGAACATGGGCTCCCCAGGGGCCGCGGTAGACTGGGGGCTTCTGGATTACAAAACTGAGAAGTATGTGATGACCAGGAACTGTCGGGTGGGTGCCCTGCAAAGGCTGCTGCAGCTCGGAGCTGTAGTCTACATGGTGGGGTAAGAGCATGGCACCTGGTCCCCTGGCTGGAGGGATCATGGCTGGTCCTGCTGGGTTGAGGGTTGAGGGTCTGCCTGCTCAGGGGCCAGACTTGTGGTAGAGGGGGGAGATTAGGCATAATAGGAGGTTAGGCTGAAGGAGGGATTTCTGTGTCTAGAAGCAGTTGGGTTACAGAGCAAGCTGTGTGCTTGGGTCCTCTTGCATGCCTACTCATTTTCTTCCCAGGGCCTTGTCCCCATACCCATGTTGGGTTCTGGCCACAGAATAGATGGACCCCAAGAGTGCCCAGGGTGTGGCAATAAGTTGTCCCTGACACTTGTGAGAGCTGGAGCACTGAGGCCTAGGAGAGAGACCAGTTTTAGCTGGGACTTAGAGGAGTTTGTAAGGAGGGAACTGTGTGCAGCATGGTGAGGGGTTGGCAGGTGAAAGAGATGTTGGTGGACATTTTGTCTGGGGCCACTGGCTTTCAGATGTGTGGCCAGATCTCCGGCCTGTGCAGGGTGTTTGGGGAGAGAATGAGGCTGGAGAGGAGGCAGGGACCCTGAACACTGTTCAGGGCAGGGCCCTAAACCTACAGGGCCCCTACTTGCTGCCCCTCACTGTATGCCAGGGATATGCCACATTGCCCTTCACCTTCTCCTCAGGTGGGCCCTTCTGGCCAAAAAGGGCTACCAGGAGCAGGACCTGGACCCCCAGGTTTCTGTCATCACCAAACTCAAAGGGGTTTCTGTGACACAAATCAAGGAACTGGGGGACCAGCTATGGGACACGGCTGACTTCGTGAAGCCATCACAGGTGGGTACCTCAGCAGTGGTGCTGCGAGGCACTAGCCCTCTAAGAGCAACCTTGCAGCATGCGCATGTGAGAGAGGCAGACGGTGGCAGAGGCTGTCACAGGGCTGGGCTTGGGAAAGACCCAGGACTCTTAGGGACGCCTAAGAGATTTCCAGGTGGAGCAGGGGATGGGTTAGGAAGCCAGGCCCGAGGTACTGCATTTGCAAAGACTGCGTGTGTATCTCAGTAGAGTCTGTGGCAACTCAGGCATGAGTTGCAGGTGGGGTGGAGGGGATTGGGGGCCGGGACTGGGAGTTTCCTGAATGCTCCCCTCCCTGACCTGGGCACTGCTGTCAGAGTCTCCTCTGTGCCTCTCACGGTGCATTTCTTGACCTTTTGTCCCTCCATCCAGATGATCCATGGCTTGTTTCTATCTCTGTCCTGCTGATGCCCAAATTGTAGCCTAGTATCCACCTACCTCCCAGATGCATATCCTTCACTCCAAAAAGAAATCATCACCCTCTCCCAGAAAGGCCTCTTTTCATTCAATAAGGGTCATTATGTCCCTCAGTGCCAAAGCTGGATCTGCCTCAACACCTTCCTGTCCCTCCCTCCAATGTGTTTCATCTCCAGAGAGTTTCCCTTATTTCCTGCACTGCTGGGCCGGGCCTGAGGGCTTCCCATTGGTCCCCAGTACACTCCCCGCAGCAGCTGGGCTGAGATTTCTCACGATATGTCTTCCAAGTCTGTCAGCACTTGGCTTCCACACTTGCAAGGTTCCATTTCCATATTGCTATCCACCAGATCCTATCTACTACCACACCCTGATGCCCTTTGCCCCACCCTCATTTCCCCTTCCTGGGGTGCATTTTCGCACATGTACAGAGTTCTCTTCCTGCTCCTCCTGGCCTGGCCCCTGCAGTGTGTGGGTCTATCTGCCCACTATCTTGGGTGGGAAGGTACAACTCAACTCTGGATGTTCAGTGCTTACAAGCAGGACATTTGGGGGAAATTCTGGTTGAACAAATGGGAATGAACGTGAGAAATAAACTTGTCTCAAAGAGGTGGACATCAGTTCAGAAAAAGCCAGAAATCTAGCCAGCCTCCTATCGCTGCCCAAATTTGCCTCACTGTAGGTGTTCTCCTGGGACACAGGGCTGATGGCCAGACAGGACTGGGACCAAACTGCCAGCTTCTGGACCCTCCTGTTGAGGGAGAAAATTGGGGCTAACTCTGACACTTGCATTCTAGGGAGAAAATGTATTCTTCTTGGTGACCAATTTCCTTGTGACACCAAAGCAAGTTCAGGGAACATGCCCAGAGGTAAGGCTTCCTGGGGGCTTCCCCGTGGACCCCTAATCCCTCCACCAAGGAAAAAAGCAAGTCATTTCATCTGGTCTTTACAAATACCCTGCCTGATAGGAATTACTATGGCTCCCACTTAAGATGAGGAGACTGAGGCTCAGAAAGTTTGAGTCACTTGCCTAGGGGTCCCAGCCTCTGGGCACAGAAGCTTTCTACTAGCCCTGTGTTCTCCACGAGGTGTCCAGGCTCTTCCTATCCTGGTCCCACTTCTGTAGACTCTGGGTTATCAGAGAGCTGTCAAAACTGGGTATCACTCTCAGGTGGGCTTTGATAAAGAGAGGCAAGTTGGCAGATCACCTTCCCATTTCTAGGCCCAGCCTCTATTAATGTGTTCGATTTTTTTTTTGTGGGTAAATACAATACACTCTTGTTCACTACTACAACTGTCATCAAGCCAGAGTCCTGCATCCCATTCTTGTTCATTTCGCATCCAGAAATGTGGATTATCTCCCTGAAGCTCCATGCATTTCTCTAACCAGGGGATGTCCCAGGAACCCAAAATCTGTCACAGAGCACACTTGCTCTCCTTCCCAGCCATGGATTTTTTCCCCTAATTTTAAAAATTGTGATAATATATGCATAAGACTTATTATCTTAACCACTTTGAAGAGTACAGTTCCCCAGCTATGGATTTTGCTTGAACAGTTGAACTGTTCTGAACTGAGGACATAGCCCTGGTGGCATGGTGACATTTTTCTTCAATCAAATCCAAAATTTAATCTCTTGCTGAACTCGAGGGTACCTGGTTACCTGTCCCCTGAGCCCTAGTGGTTGGTCCCACCACAGTTACTTGTGGCTTCGCAGTTGCACATCTTTGACCCTGCTACACAGGAGGTGCAGTACGTGCACAGGGGGAGTGCTTACATTCGGCAGATGCGTACTATGTCCTTCCCATTCTAAATACCAAGAGGACATCTGTTTAGTGTTCAGTTTGTAGACTGTCTTGAGATTTTGCTGGGGCCATGGTTCTGTGCTTTCTGGAATCCATGTGATTTCTCTTTGCCCCATGTCCCAGCTTCTGGCACTTCCCATGAAACCGCTAGGACTGGGAAATAATTCATCCAATCTGCCAGCCCGGTTCCTCAGAATAGCCATTGCCCCTGCCAGCTCTTCCTGGGGATCCCGGTTGTCTGCTCCCGCCCAGCACATGCACTGTGTTACTTGCAGTGTCACAGCCTCCAGCAAGCATCTGCTGTGCCTCCTCCTTCTGAGCCAGCCATATGAGGAGTGTGAAAAACACCATCCCCCAGGCTCTGGGAGCTCCTGCACAGCAAGCCAGCCAGGGTGTTGGTCTTGTGAGGAGGGCACAGGCTAAAGCTGGTGGGTCTAACAGCACTGCACGTCGGTGCTCGCTCAGCAAGCTTATGGAGCCTACTTCCCTTTGCAGGCACCTCTGGCTAGGGCTCTGCCATTGGTCCACCACCTGGCGCCTCCACCTTCCATGAATTTAATCTTGCCAGGGTCCCCTCACCTTCCCTGTCCTGTCATCTGAATTAGACCAGAGGAGCTGGGTCTCTGTGAATTACTTTTGCTCCTGCCAAGGACACAACTATCAGGCAGTGAGGAGTCTCACTCTCCCTTGGGATATAGCATCTATCCTCCCCCTTCTGTCACTTCTTTTTATTTGCACCCTCAAACTCAGGGAAGCTTGGAGAGTTAAGGTAAGGAGGGTATGTCCCTATGGACTGTGGCACTGGGTCACAGAGAGGAGATACCCCCTGGGCCCTTGCTAACTCTGTTCTCTGACCACCTCAGCACCCCTCCATCCCACTGGCCAACTGCTGGGCCGATGAGGACTGTCCAGAAGGAGAGATGGGGACGCACAGTCACGGTACCTGGGCTCTGTCTTCCTATGCTTCCATTAGGAAGTGGGGGGTGGGGGTGGTGCGGGCTGGAACCCTGTATGGCTCCCATACCTCTGTGTTTCTCCTTTTTGCCAGCAGCCTTCTTGCCCACCCTCTCTGGACCCCATACGGATTTGAAAGACTGAAGTCTGTCTTGTGTTTTCCAGGCATAAAAACAGGTCAGTGTGTGGTTTTCAATGGAACGCACAGGACCTGTGAGATCTGGGGCTGGTGCCCTGTGGAGAGTGGTGCTGTGCCAGTGTAAGTCTCCTCTAGTTTCCAGGGCAGGACCCCAGGTTGGGCCAAGCCTACCCCTCATCTCCTCTCCTCTTATAGGAAGCCCTTGCTGATCCAGGCCGAGAACTTTACACTGTTCATCAAAAACGCAGTCACCTTTAGCAAGTTTAACTTTTCCAAGTAAGTGTGGCTGGGTCCTGGCTGGCCTGAGTCTCCCTTTACCGGGCCCGGTCTGATCCCTGGCTCCACGCCCTCAGGTCCAATGCCTTAGAGATCTGGGATGACACCTATTTCAAGAGCTGCCGCTATGACCCGCACTCCAGCCCCTATTGCCCTGTGTTCCGAATCGGGGACCTTGTGGCTGCAGCTGGAGGGGTCTTTGAGGACCTGGCATTGCTGGTGGGTCCATGGCTGGGGGAGGAGGAGCTCTGAGAGGACTAGGGAGAGGGCCCCTGGCTGGTATGCTGGTGGAGCAGTGGTGTGTCATGAGCAGGGCGGTGCTGTGAGCATCCACATCCGCTGGGATTGTGACCTGGACCACAGGAACTCTGACTGCAGGCCCCACTACTCCTTCCACCTGCTGCAGAGAAGTTACAACTTCAGGTGGGGCCCCCATCCTCACCAACAGCTCCTTGCCGAGGTCCCCTACACTGTCCTCCTCTGGCAGCCACACCGAGGCCCTGCCCCCTGGACACTCCACTGCATGTGTGTTGGGGAGGGGCCCCAGGGGCAGAAGGGGGTGGTCCCAGCTCCAGGCCCTCCAGCACAGGTTCCATCCAGCCTCCCTCTGGACACTTCCCCTCTGATCTGGGTCCACACCTCCTTCAGCAGGAGCTCAGACTGTTCACCCCACCCTGCCTCTGGCTTCTCCCCTCCACAGCACTGGGGCCTGTCTGTTTTGCTTTTTCCTTAAGCTTTTACAGAAAATTTCCAAAAATCTATAGAAAAGGCCAAAGGTAAGTGCTGTGAACATCTATTTTCCCTTCATCTGGGTTCCCCACCGTTTTCCTCAGTGCTGGCCTGAGGATGAGTACCCTTCCCACTTGATGGCGGTCTCACCACACCTAAGAAACTTCACATTGACAGAATACATCTAATAGTTATAGGTCCTCAACTGTGCCCTTATAGCACTAAATCTTTTTGTTTTTCAATCCAGGATGTGCTCAAGGAGCTTGCACTGCGTTTATGGTCTCCCAAGCACAGCCTCCCTTCCTCCCCTCACCCCACGGGTCCCCCGTAGCACAGGTCTGGAGATGGCACCACGGGACAGTGCTCCCTGGCTCTGCCTGGCCTGCCTCCACTGACGTCTCCAGCCCTTTGCCTTTATGTGGGACTGCTCCCTGCCCACGGCCTGCTCCCTCTGTCTATGCTCTTGCTGGTCTATTCTCTCTGCCGACAACTCCTTCGTGACCCTGGGAAACCAGCCTGGAAGTCTCCCCGGCAGGAAGCCCCCCAGTTCCTAGAGGGAAGCAGGTCATAGCCCTGGGCCTGTCCCCCACCCCTTCCTACCTCACTGGTCTCTGTGGCAGGACCTTTCTGTCCTCCTGTCCCCTCAGCAGGCAGACCTTACCCAAGACTTGGGCTTGGGCTGGGGGTGCATGGAATCAATGGATGGGTCAGAGGAAGCTTGAGAGAGCCATCCCAGCCTGGGGACGGCACAGTGGGCCAGCAGAGTTCTCTCTCCCGCATCCAGGACAGCCACTCACTGGTGGGAGACCCCTGGCGTGGAGGCCCGGAATCTTCTCAAGCTCTATGGGATCCGTTTTGATATTGTGGTCACCGGGCAGGTAGGGGGGGGCCAGAGGGACAGGTGGGGGCCTGGGTGACCCAGAGGCTCAGCCCACATCTCTCTCAGGCAGGGAAGTTCGGGCTCATCCCCACAACCATCACTCTGGGCACAGGAGTGGCTTGGCTGGGTGTGGTGAGTCTGGCCACTATGGATCCCCTTTGTCTGCTGTGAGCATGTGTCCTTGCCTGCCAAATGCCCCCGGTGCCTGTTCTTGGGTCTCTAGGTGAGGACGAGGCGGGGAGAGCAGCAAGTAGGTTGGGGGCTGGGATACAGATTTGTGCTGTCTTTCCCAGATCACCTTCTTCTGTGATCTGCTGCTGTTGTATGTGGATGGAGAAGCCCAATTTTACTGGAGGACCAAGTACGAGGAGGTGAGCTGTGGTCTGGCCTGGATCCTGAGTTCTGCTACACTTTGGAGAACGTACCTCGAGTCCTGACTCACTGTACTCATCTGCAGGCAAAGGCCCCAAAGGTGACCACCCACCATGAGCAGACAGAGCTGGCCTCAGTACCCTCACACTCTTAGAGGGGGCCCAGCACCCACCCCCTTGGCTGCTGATGCTGGGAGCTGAACAGTGACGCTGGGGTGGCCTTCTCAAGCTATGGGCCCAACTGTCAGTTCACTCCTGTCCCCTGCTGTTGGGGTCAGGGCTTGGAAGAGTGGGGGCTCCGCCCTTGGTATCTCATGGATGGACCCAAGCGGACCAGAGAAGGGAGCAGAGAATTCTCCCCTTCATCTCCCGGGAGTTTGTCCCCACCTTGACTCCAGCCACTCCAGGGTGACGGAAGTCCGTGTTGTGTAGAGACCTGCAGCAGAGTAGGGGCACAGACAAGGGGGCCCGCGCACCCACATGGCAGGGAGCTGGTCCAGGCAGGCCCTGCTGTGCCCAGATCTGGAGAACAACCTCCACGGCTGTCACCAGTGCTCCCAGTAGCATCAACTCTCAGTAGTGGACACTGGTTACAGTGACTGCAGCCCTGGCTGGCTTCCAGTCCTCCTTTTCTCACCGGAGTGGGGGTATTGAGGGAGTAGAGCCCCTCCCTGCCCCACCAGCTGCCTTTCAACAGGATCTGGGCAACCAGAGTCCAATGCGCGGTCGACAGAGGTCTGACTCATAGGGGTTGTCTCCCTGCTCTGGTGTTGGGTTGCCTGGGCAGGGCCCCACCCAACTTTGGGCCTCATCCATGGAACGGGGAATGTTTGAGGCAGATGACCCGGCCCCTGAGGGTCCCAGGCAAGGACACAGGCACCTATTTGGCCCATACCTGCTAGGGCACTTCCCAGAGCCTTGGGCTATGGAGGGCTGGAGGAGGAGGAGGTGGAGGAGGGCTGCTGGTCACTGGGGTCTTCTCTATGCCCCCTGGGTGAGCCGCATCTCAGCCTCCTGGAGCCTGCTTCCCAGGGAGTCATGGGGGTGAGGCGGATGTACATCTGGAATTCACTACACCCAAGGTCATGCCTAAGTACATGTTTTGGCAGCTGCTTTCCCTCCCTGAAGCAACTGCAAACAGGAGGCCTTGACCACGACTCAAGGCAGAGCCTAGAAGCAGGAAGGACTATCCTTAATAGGGGATGCAGAGGCCCCTAGCAGATTGGTCTGGCTCTGACTTTGGAATCCTCCCAGGATTCAGAGACTTGCCTGATGGAGAATGTTCCTGGACCCCAGGCCCAAGGAGTGGAGGGATGAGGGCTATAAGAACCAGGACAGGGGCAGGGATCTGGGAGTACCTATCCCCTGAGAGATGAAGGCTTTCTCACGGGCACCTGGTGGCCGGAGTGTGCTGGCAGCTTGCTGGTGGAGGAACATGGGCCATAGTGAAGAGGGCCAGGGTGGAGTTCAGCCTGTGCTAGCATCTGGAATCATCTGGCCCCTGGAGCCTCAGCAAAGCCTTGGGGACCCTCCTGCCTCTCTCCTCAGAGCAGTGTCCATGAAAACGTGGGCTCAGAAGGGCTGGGGTGAGAAGCATGGCCCTGAGGTCTGGTGATTGGAGCGGGGTCACAAGTACCTGGTTGTCCTCAGGGCCTAGTGAGAGCTGATGTCACCACTGCAGAATGTGCAGGAATAAAGCCTACCAAAGCCAGAAGCTTCCCGTGTAGTCCTTGCAGGCAGGGACAGGGAATTGGATGTGTCTGTGGGGAATAGAACATGGACACTATAGACAGTGTCGTGGGGAACAGGGTGGATCTGGGGTCCCTCCCAAGGACCAGGGCCTCACAAACACCAGCTGGCTGGCAGGTGCTTCGAGCGGCCTGGGTGCTGGCACAGCACACATGTGTGCTCCATCTCGAACCTTTACTGCAAAGACTTGAGGGGTAGGCAGAGCAAGAGGAGAGAATGAGAACTTGGAAACAGCCATTGCCTCATTCTGGGTGTGTATTCCCCAGGGTAGCCATGCAGACCATGTGCTCATGTGACGCTATATCCCTGGGCAGGCTTTAGGCACACGGTGTGCTCTCTGAGAGCCCTGGGAAACCAAGAGGACCCAGATCTCCATTGCTTTTCTCAACAACCTTCTTGGGGCCCAGGCTCTGCTCCCTGGATCTACCCCCAGGGAACACATGAGAGTGAACCTGCCCTTGGCCCTGTGATGGACTCCTTTGAGCCTGTGCATCTATGTCCATCCCTTCCGAGCAGCACAAAGGGTTGGACTGGCCTGTAGGCAGGATCCCAGGTCCCAGGCCCAGGGCTGTCTCAGGACTGGTGCCTCCCCCTTGCAGAACCTTGATAGACTGGGGACAGTCACTTGGTGAGCAGGTGAAGACTCAATACTGCAAAGAATGCGAGAGTGGACACAGCAACGGCCTCATGGCAGGCCAAGCAGTTATTATTGTGGATCCTTGGGGTTGGAGGCCTCTCCCCACCAGCCCACCCCACCTGCCCATGTAGCTGGAGCTTGTCATAAACTGGAAGATGCTGGACAAAGAGACCACCACATGTTGGCTAAGGCCCTAAGGTCCTGAGGACCCCCAGCATGAACAGGCCTACAAACCCAAGCTGTCTCAGAGAGAAAAGGCTCCCAGCCCCTCCAGCCTCCTGATGAAATAGGGGTGGCAGGGCAAGAGTGGGCAGGTTTTCAGCTGGCTTCATGGACTGGCAGGCTGTACCATGAGGTCAGGTTCCTGGGTTGGGGCCTGGCTGCAGGGCTGCACAGCCTGCACCGTCTCCTCCAGGCTGCCGCTGGGGAACACCACGTAGCGCGTGGCAGTCAGCCCTGGCTGCTCCCGCTGGTTCTCCTTGCTGTGCCAGATGCCGTAGCCAAAATAGACCGCAAGTCCTATAGGGGTGATACAAGCCAGAGGGGCAGGTCCTGACCATGCACACCCTCCCTGGCCTCCTCCCAAAGCCCAGTCAGGGACCTAGTCCAACCCCCACTCACCAAGCAGCAGCCAGATGGAGAAGCGCAGCCAGGTCAGGTAGCTCAGCTTCAGCATGAGGCAGATGTTGAGGAGGATGCTGAGGGCTGGAGTCAAGGGCACCATGGGGATCTGAGGGGCAAGGGTAGGGCTGGGCTGGGCAGCAGGGAAGGTCTGCGAGCCCAGGGTCTCATTTCTCAGGAGTCCACAGAACCTTTGGAGATTCTGGAGACAAATGCCCGCTTGCCATGCCATGCAGAATGAGGACAGTGGGCATATTGGCCTCCCCAGCCCTGTGAGCCCTTGTTCTCTCTGCTGCGGTAGAGGGGGAAGGAGCATGGGGAGTTGACTGGACTGAGAGCAAGTGGATGTCGGCTATGGGTGGTACCTGGAAGGTGTCCTGCCGGTGCTGTTGCTGGTGGGCCAACAGGACGAGGAGACTGAGCAGAAACACAACAGTGCTGAGCAGGAGCATTAGCGTGTAACCCCAGTACGGAAGGTGGAGGGTCGAGTGTCCGAAGATTAGCACACATCCCAGGGTGATGGCTGAGGATACCAGGATGCCAAGTGCCCAAGACACAGCAGCTCCAGGGCTATAGGCACTCAGGAACCCCAGATAGGGCCTCAGGGCTGGCCTTAGTTGCCCAGGCTCAGGGGCCAAGGCCTCCTCCATGCCCACCAGCTGTATGCGGTCTGAGAAGGAGTTGTACTCTTTGGCAATAGGACCAGGGCTGGATGGGTCTGAAGAACTGGATGGGGGCGCCTTCTGGAAACGTAGCACAATAATACTGGCAGCCACGAAGGTGTAGGCCAGGAGTGTGCCAATGGACAGGAACTGGACCAGTGCCTCAAGATCCAGCAGCAGTGCCAGGAAAGCCATGAGGACCCCAAACACCAGGATGCCTACCACAGGCACCTGGGTCTGGGGTTGCACACGGGCAAACACCTGGAAGAAGAGCCCATCGGATGCCATGGCATAGACGATGCGTGGCAGGGAGAAGAGGTTGCTGAGCAGGACAGTGTTCATGGCTGTGGCAGAGGGGAGGGAACTGGTCAGCATGGTGGCCATGCCTATGCGGGGGGTCAATGCTGGGGCCGAGGTCATGGATTGTCTGGGAACAACATGGACATGAGTTTTTCTGGCTTTCAGAGTGAGCTGCAGGGCTCTGGATTGTCACCCCCCAATCATGAATGGGACACCCCAGTTTAGGTGACAGGCCCACTGAAGTATCTGATGAAGGCTGAGCGCCTCTGTCCAGGAAAGGACCTGGGTGTTTCCAGGTGTAGAACTGACAGTCTACGTATAATTTGGGGGTGAGGTCAGTAGGTCCCTCACGACAAACCCGGGTCAATAGCCTAATAATTAGTACCTTCTTGGGCCACTCATACAACTGCTAAACTGAAGCCCAGATGGAGATGTGTTCCCCCGGAGGCTTAGGGCAGGGCCCTGCTGCTCAGTTCCCTCCCACCTTGCTCAGAAGGCCCTTACCACAGATGGAGCCAGCTGCCACAATGAAACCAGCCCAGCTGTAGCCCCTCCGGTAGAAGGCATCTGCCAGCGCTGAGTCAGGGTCCAGGCTGTGCCAGGGCACCATGAGGGTGAGCACAGTGGAGACGAGGATGTAGGCACCAGCTGCCAGGCCAAGTGAGATGGCGATGGCCATAGGTACGGACCGCTGAGGGTTCCGAGCCTCCTCGCTGGAGGCAGCGATGACATCAAAGCCCACAAAGGCATAGAAGCAGGTGGCGGTGCCAGCCATGATGCCAGAAAAGCCAAAGGGAGCAAAGCCGCCCTCTTCAGAGCTCCAGTTATGTGGGCGGGCCAGGACGAACCCTAAGATGCTGATGAAGAGAATGACAACCAGGCTGACGGCAGAGAAGATATGGTTGAGCCAGGAGGAGACACGGGCACCACAGGAGACGAAGGCAGAGGCCAAAAGTAGGATGCCAGCAGCCAGGAAGTCTGGGTAGCGAGCCAGGAATGGCACCTGCCAGGCGCCCATGTGGGCCTCAGTGAAGTTTCTGATGCGGTGACTGAAGATAGCATCCAGATAGCCACTCCAGGCTCGGGCCACAGCGGCACCACCAATGAGGTACTCTAGGAGTACGTTCCAGCCAATGAGGAAAGCCCACAGCTCTCCCATGGACACGTAGGTGAACAGATAAGCAGAGCCTGTGCGGGGCACACGAGCCCCGAACTCTGCATAACACAGGGCTGCTAGGAGGGAAGCTACAGCTGCCACACCAAAGGACACAAGCACAGCAGGGCCGGCCATCTCCTTGGCTACGGTGCCAGTCAGCACGTACAGGCCTGAGCCCACCATACCACCCACGCCCAGCAGGGTCAGGTCCAGTGTGGACAGGCAGCGCCTCAGTGATGTCTCCATGGTGGACTCCTCCAGTGGTTTCAGCCGGTTCAGCTTTTGGCAAAAGTGTGCCAGTCTGCTCATGCTGGGCATCCCAGGGGCCATTGTGGACAGCTGAGAAGAACACCAAACCAGCCCCCAGCACCTATTAGGGTCAGAGGGGAATAACAGGCTGTTCATTCAGGTCCCGCCCAGTCTTCAATCCTTGCTCTGTCCCTGTCTTGGGAACCGGAGGACTGGGATGGGCAGTACCCCTGCAGGAAGTCACAGGGAAGCTTGGAGATCCCAGCTGCTTCCCAGGCAGGGGGACAGATGGAGTCCTGCCTAGGGTTGTTTGAGGGGTCCCTGAGGGTGAGGAGGAGGCAGCCCCAGGGAGGGCCGGAAAGCCACTCTGAAATATGGGGTCATGGACAAGGTGGAATCCTGAGGCTTCCCGTGAGCTGCCTCAGGCCTCCGGACCCGGAACAGGATCGGCTCTGCGGCCCTGGGCGTGGCTCAGACGGCCACCTGGCCTCAGACAGGGCCATCACCCGTTCTCCCCGCCCCGCGCGGTCAGACTGCTGTACTGGCGCAGTGGGCCGGGAGGGAGAGGATCCCCCGCCCTACGCCCCCAAGCCCCACGCCCTGCCCTGCGGCCACTGCTGCCAGTCAGTTCCGTTAAGCCCCGATCCCCAGGTACCCGAATCTTCACCTCTTCTGGGGCCTGAATATGGCTCAGCAGGACTTGCTGCGACCCACCTGCTGTCGCCGCTGCCGCTCTGCGCGCTGTGCCAGCCCCGCCCGCCGCCGCCGCCGCCAGGGCTGCCTGAGTGCAGGGCCCGCCCCCACCCCCAGCGCCTGATGGAGCGCTGGCTCCGTGTCGCTCTGTAACACGCACACCAGAGAGCCCACCCTACCTGACCGAGACCACGGCTTAACAAGGTCCGGGGAAACCCTGTCTGGTTCACAGATGGGGAAGTCCAGGCCAACAGGTAAGTGATTAACCCAGGAGTTGGGAAGTTAAGGCCCAGGTCTGGGGCCTCTGCAGACACCTGCCTTGATCCCTCACCCCAATCCGGGGGGTGGGGTGTGGGTGGTGTGGGACCTACTCCTTGACAGTTCCTACATCTCGGCCATTATATGACCATCAAATTTCTGCAGATATATATATTCCTGGGGCAAAGGCGTTTTGGTCCTTTTGCAATTTCCATTTCTTTGAAGGTGAAAAAGTTGGTGTAGCTTTTTCATAGCGTAGGATGTTCTTGGCAAAACGATGGCAGTTTATCCAAGCAAAGCAAACCAAGGTAGATATTCTCTCCATCTACCTCTTTAAACATTATTTCCAGGTTTATGGGTGATTCATGGAATGGAATTTTAGGGTCACCTGAAGTCTGTCTGGCTTAATGGAGTGGTGACAGGGTGGTGACTCCCAAACCAGCTTAGCCAGCTTCTGTGATCCCACTGATATTTGGCTGATATTACCTAGAGGAACTTGTCAGATGGACTCTCCCTTCCTGCGAGAAGATGACATCTTCCTTAACCCACTTTCAGTTGCCTAAACATAACTGAGCAGGTGTTCCTTGTTCTGAAATGCCCCCTTAAATATATAGAAAAATGCATTTCAAATGATGAGGTCCAGTAGTTCTGTGACAGGAGCCCCCCAAGGCCTGACTGACAAGCAGCTGAGAGTTAGCGTCCAGCTTTCAGAGCACGAACGTTTTATGTACTCAGAGAAGGGTTGCTGTCAGCACACACTCCTTTTCACAGGCATCAACATTGATGATTATGGCCAAGCATGCTTGACAGGGAATTGTAAGTTTCTGGGGAATTCTGGGACACCAGTGGGCAAGGCAAAGACACAGAACAACTCCCTGAAGATGCGGTGAAGCTAAAGGACAAGAAGGAGAAGGAAAAGGGGGATATTCCAGTTCAGCACCCTGACACTAAACGCAGTGGCATTGCAAGAAAGGAGAACTATGGATCAATATCCCTTGTGGCTACAACATCAGCAAAATACTAGCAAATCAAATCCAGCAAAATATAAAAAGTATAAAGAGGGATTTATCCCAGGAATGCAAGGTTGATTTAGCACAGGAAAATCAACCACAATAATATATTATTCTAATAGAATAAAAGGCCCAAATCCCAAAGATGACGAATCTGTGCCATCTCAATAGATGCAGAGAAAGCACTAAACACACTAGGGATAGAAGGGAATGTCTTCAGTTTGCTAGAGCCCATATATGAAAAAGCCACAGATAACATACTCAGTGATGAAAGACTGGACGTTTTCCTTTTCCACCAAAACCAACATAAGGATGTCCACCTGCATTTAGTATTTTACTGGAGGTTCTAGCCAGGGCAATTAGGTGAAAAAAATGAAATTAGAAGAATATAGATGGGAAAGGAAGAAGAAAAACTCTCTAGTCAGATGACATGACCTGATTGAACAGAAAGCCCTAGGGAATTCACACATACACAAACACTAGAATTAGTAAGTTCAACAAAGGTGCAGGATATAAGGTCAATACACAAAAATCAAAGAATCTAATGTATAGTATCTTTACTATACTTGATAACATTTTATCATCTAACTGAAATTTGATAAGAGCAGAACTTAAATTGTTCCCACTAACAAAAATTAAAGTATAAAAGAAATATGGGAGGTGACAGATGTGTTAATTAGAAAGAAACCTTTTATAATTTATGCATGTATCAGATCATCACAGTGGACACTTTAAAAACCTTACAATTTTATTTGTCAGTTATACCTCAGGAGAGCTGAAAAAACATTTGAAAATCAATTGTTGTTCTCTACGCTAGCAATGATTTATCCAGCATGAAATTAAGAAAACAATTCTGCTTACAAGGTATCAAAAAGAATAAATTTACTTACAAAGATTCTTAAAATAATATGCCAATTATATCTCAGTAAGGCTGGAAAGAAAGATACTTAAAATAAAGTTAACAAAAGAAACACAAGATTTGTATCCTGACTACTAAACATAATTGAAATGAATTAAAGACCTAAATAAATGGAAAGACCTGTGTGTGTGAATTTGCAGACTTAATATTGTAAAGTTGGCAATATCCCCAAATTGGTCTGTAGATTCAGTGCAATGTCCATGAAAATTCCAACTGCCTGCTTTGCAGAAATTGATCCTCAAATTCATATGGAAGTGAATTAGCCAAAACAATTTCAAAAAAGAACAAAATCAGAAGACTCACACTTCTTGATTTCTAAACTGGCTATAAGCTAAAGTAATTAAGACAGTGTGTTTCTGGGCCTTCTTGGTGGCGCAGGGGGTTGAGTGCATGCTGTGAAGCTGTCCACAGCCTCTGCAGTGCGGAGTCTATCCCGGGCCCGGCAGGGAGACACCCACATGGTGCAACAGAACCTCTCCAGTCTCACCCACTGCTCCCCCCAGCAGTGTTTTTGGTCGGTCCATCTGCCTGTTCTGCTCTCCACTCTGTCTCTGGTGAACCCTCTCATTCCCACCCCTTTGCACTTCTTCCCTGTACTCCAGTTCTTGTATGCATAAATAAATAAATCTTAAAAAAAAAAAAGATAGTGTGTTTCTGGAAAAAAAAAAAAGATAGTGGAATTGAGAGTCCAGAATTATGGTCAGTTTTTTTTTTTTAATTTATGACCAATTTAAATTTATGGCCAATTGATGTTTTTAGAATAAACTTTATTTTATATATTTACTGGTTTTTGTTGTTGTTGTTTGAGAACAGAACAGGCAGATTTATTGAAATAAACTATTAAGAGAAACAGCAGGTGAGACAGGAGAGGTCTGCTACCTTTTATTTTTTTTTAAACTAAAAAAAACCCAACTATTTTTTAGAGCACTTTTAGGTTGACCACAGAATTAAGCAGAAAGTATTGAGTATTCCCATATAATCCATGCCCCTACACACACACAAACACACACACAGCCTCCCTCACAATCAGTGTCCCTCACAGAGTGATAGATTTGTTACAATCGATACTGATGAACATATTATTATCACCTAAAGTCCATAGTTCACAATTGGGTTCACTCTTACTGTTACACATTATATGACTTTTAACAAATATATAATGGCAGTTGTCTGCCATTATAGAATCGTACATAATTGTTTTACTGACCTAAAAATCCTTTGTGCTTTGCTTATTCTCCCTCCCCATTAACCCCAGCAACCTCTGAACTTTTCTGTCTCCACAGTTTTCCCTACCAGATTACCATATAGTTGGAATCATACAATATGTGGCCTTTTCACATACATTTTTGACATAGTAATATGCATTCAAGATTCCTCCATGTCTTTTCACAGCTTGATAATTGATTTTTTTTAGTGCTGAGTAATGCTCCATCATCTGGATGTACCACTTTATGTACCCATTCACCAACTGAAGGATGTCTTGGGTGCTTACAAGTTTGGGAAATGATGAATAAAAATGCTGTGAACATCTATGTGCAGATTTTTGTGTGGATATAAGTTTTCGGCTCGTTTGTAAATTCTAAGGATTGTGATTGCTGAATCATATGGTAGGAGTATGTTCAGTTTTGTAAGAAAATTTAAACTGTCTTCCAGTGTGTACTTGTACCATTTTGCGTCCCCACTAGCAATGAATTCCTGTTGCTTCACATCCTTAGCAACATTTGATGTGTCAGTCCGCATTTTGGCCAATCTAGTCCATATGAATGTATGGTGGTATCTCACTGTTCTTTTCACCCCCCATTACCATTCCTTATATCCCTTTGATCTGCTCCCTCTTAACCTCAGAAATTCCACTTCCTTTATTAGTGTCTGCTAGTTTTTATAAGTATTTTGCTTTGTCAGTATGCCCACTCTGTAAGGTCTGATATTTGTCTTTCATTCTGTGTAGCTCTACTCATCATAATTCCCTCAAACTCTTTCCATTTTACTGTAAATTTTAACACTTTATCTTTACCTTTTGTTGTGCATATACTACATCTTCTTGATTCAGTCTTCTATCAGTGGGCACTTAGGTTGTATCCATGTCTTAGTTGTTATAAATAATGCTGCAGTAAACATTGTAGAACATAACTTTTAAGTTGACAGTTACATGTTCTTTGGATAGATGCCCAAGAGTGGTATTAATGTGTCATGTGCTACTTCCATTTTCAGTTTTTTAAGATTGTTTTCCAAAATGGCCATGCCAGTACACGTTACCACTGACAGTGTATATATGTTTTTTCTTTCTTTTTATTCTCTTCCTCAATTGTTGTTTGGTGTCTTTTTAGTATGTGCCATTCTCATTGTGATTTTGATCTTCATCTCCCTTATTAAAGGCTTTGAAGAATATTTTTCCATGTGTCTATTGGGTTTCTGAATCTCCTCTTTGGTGAATTGTCTGTCCATATCTACTGCCTATTTATGGATTGAGTTGTTTGTTTTTTTATTATTAAATTGCATACATTTATTATATATCTTGGATAGTAACCCTTGTCAGTTGTGTAACATGTAAATATTTTCTTCCACTCAATGGGATGTCTTTTTAATCTACCTATGTTTTCTTTTGATGTGTAAAAGTTTTTAAATTTGAGATAACCCCAAAAGTATGAGTCTCCAAAAATATCTTTATCATTGATGTCATGAAACATCACTAATGTTTTCTTCATATATTTTATTATTGCAGGTCTTAAATCTAATTTTTTGCTCCATTTGGCTTTTGTGTGTGTGTGTGCATGTAGTTAGAGCATGATCCAATTTCATTCTTTTATATGTTGCTATTCAGTTTTCACAGCACCATTTGTTAAAGAGCTTCCCTTCCCCCA